AGAGAAGATGCCGGCAGTCATCAGGGGGGCTCAAAGCCCCCTGACGGCTTGAGCTGGCGGACCTACCAAGGAGTTTGTTGCCTCGAGATTTTCTTTGAATTCGGGCGGCTCAGTCGGGCTTTCGGAATGGCTGGAATGGTTTGTTTCGAGATTGATGTTTCGAACAACCCCCAAGACGATGTGCTTGACCCGGAAGTTGAAAAGTTGATTGTACAGAAGATTCTTGACGGACAAGTTGTTTTTGTTTGGTTGGGAATGCCTTGCGCAACTTTTTCAGCAGCAAGGAGAGATGATGGGCGGGCCAGGACCATTGAGGTCAGCCGCATACCCCATGGGGCTCCCATGGTTGAAGGGCCGCGATCGAGCAAAGTTGTTGACAGGCAATTCACTCTTCCTTTTTACAATGCGTGTCGTTTGGGCTTGTTGCGTGAGAGGTGTTGCTTTTTGCATTGAAAACCCTTTGACCTCAAGATGTTGGACCACGCCCATTTTGGAGAAGCTTCTAAAGTCAGGTGATTTCAACACTACTGAACTAGACTTCTGCCAATACGGAGAATCGTGGCGAAAGCCTATGCAACTTTTCTCTTGTTTTGTGGACCTTCACTCAGTTGGTCGTGTTTGTCAAGGCAGCTTCACCCGTTGCAGCTATATATACAGGCAAACGCCACGTTGCTTTGAAAGGTACAAATGAAGATGGAATCTTCCTTACATTGATTGCTCAACCATATCCATTCAAGCTTTGTGAGACAGTTGCAAGAGGGGTCATTGAGCAGATCAATAGACAGAACGCTAGCGGATAAAGGGGAAAGCTTTTGAAGGCATCTCCATACAGCAGGTGAAAGTCACCTTTGATGCCGAGCAGTTAAAACTTTTCTACCTCGCCAGAAACGCTGCCTGGAAAAAGAAGTGTGAAGGCAGCAGAGTCATATATGTATATGTTATATATATTTATATATATACAGAAAAAAGTATATATATATATTAATAGGAGAAACAGATCCGTAACAAGAAGAAGGAGAAGAAGGGTCAGCATACAGGCAAGTAAACGAGACAAGAAACAAGAAGATAAGATAAGAACGGTCGGGACTATGGGCATAATATCTGAGGACCCAGGACCAAGAAGAAGAAGACACTTACGGTAAACACAAAAAGGACAAAAAGTCGCAAACTCTAAGGTGCAAGTGCGAGCAACCCGCATTTAGTAGAGGCGCAAACGCAGCCATCATCAAAATTTTAAAACAAGGAACACATCAAGGATGGACAGCGAACATCATTTAACGTACAATGATGGTCCCCCCGTAGATTTCAACCCGCATCGTGCGTCAATAGAGAGAATAATGCCACTGGGAACTCAGAATCGAAGGAGACCATTTCATGCATCACGTTGTTCCAATAGTTATTCCGGTGGCATAACAATCAGATTAGTTGGGTTTCCTTGATTGCTTGGCTGTTATTTTGAATCATTCGCTTGTGACGTGTATAATCGTGTGGCCGATCCCTCAGCAATGCCAAGCAATGAGGCTTGTGCCAAGATCTCTGGAAATTTGACATGAACACTTACCACTGGACTTGGGTCTCAAGCGATGGTCCTTCTGCGAGAGCATACCATGCTGCTGGTTGGGATCCTATGAACCTTGCTCTTTGGATTCATGGTGGATTTGACGGTGTTGCTCTTCAAGACCTCTGGAGATTCAGCACCTTAGGAAACACATGGGAACTCATAGCAGATGGAGGTCCTTCACCCCGCTATAATCACGTGGCTGCTTGGGATGTTGCGAGCCTGTCCTTCGTGATTCATGGAGGGTATGGGGGTGGCCTGCTGCAGGACCTATGGAGGTTTCAAGCTTCCACAATGACGGTATCCAGCTCATCTACACACACAAGTACTTCTTCAACGAGCACCAGCTCAACGAGCACTTCTTCAACGACTTCAGCTGATTTCAATGCTTCAATTGATGGTCTGTTTCCTCTTACCCCAGCAACTCCAGATTTGACAACATGTTTTGTGGCGATAGGGCTTGGCATACCTGCGATCTTGCTGCTGATGCTGTATTTGTTTTGCAAATTCAGCCGCACGCGTGGAGTGGCACCCTTGCCACCGCCGCTGCCACCGCCCATACCACCAGCTTCCCTCAACCTCCGCACCAACACTCAGTTTCTAGACGCACCCCCACCCCCTCTACCACCCTGTCACTCACGCGAACCAATGTACCTGCCAGACATCACTCTCTCGGTTGCACCCTTGTCTCACAAGGCCGACGACGAGAGTTGCCCCTCACAAATTTGTATAGAAGTTGCCCCAGAGGCAGAGCTACCCATTGATGCGGTAGATGTGCACGTAGCACTGGCGCCTGTCGGGTCATGTGAGGAACCAGTTGACTCTCTACGACCGAGGTGCCCACACCGAACACAGACAGTGCCACGGCTTCAAGAAGCCCAGAACGGGACTGCCAGAGACGCACCAGATTCCTCCGAGCGAAGACAGGGGATGCGAGTCGAGCAGAGAAGAGTGGAGGCGGAAGGCACCGTCTGGACGGAAGAACAGTCACGTTTCTCCCAGAGCCCAGTTTGCCTTCAGCATGTCACTGGTGACACCGTGACAGAGCAGTGGGCGAGCCCAAATGAGAGAACACTCAAATGGAGCCGGCTGATAGCCAGGTGCTATGAAGATAAGCCCAGGAAAGCACCAGAGGTACACCGAGATCCACAAATGCATCGGGCATCAGATGCTCCAGTGAACCGAGTTTCAGACAAGATTAACCCGCCACAAATAGACAGGCGGCGAAAGCCACGCTTCCCGGGCAGAACAGAAAGTGCACCACAGCTTTCACAGCCAGCCGGGAACACAAATGCAACACACTTTGGAAGAGTGCCGATTGCAGCAGACTTACTGCCTACTCCTCCAACACCTCAGCCACAGTCATCACGGCTTGCAGAGCCTCCACCCAGACATGAACGAGAGCATTATCCTGGGCCTGCTCCATTTTTGAGCCTTGGCCCACGAGGAACTTGCCATGCGAACACCTTCAGCACTCGAGAAGAAGCGGCACCGGCTCCAGTTGACGGGCATGTAGTTGTGGCTTCCAAAGCAACTTGCCTGCAAGATAGTGGAACATGCTCCGCTGAGAATACTCATTCACAGCCCGTGGCAGTACCACCAGCGATCACACCTCATCCAGTTCAACCCCATGTTGCAGTCCATTCACAAGCCACCGCTCCACACCAGCCAACCGTGCTGCCAGATCGGAAAGTGAACACAGATCCGGCATGGCCTCTAGCAGTAC